TCTTAAAATGCTCCTTTTATAATTCACTTTTCACTTGCACATTCATTTACAAGTATCCAATCAAATATTATCAGTATTTTAAAACCTGATACATCTTAGCATGAATAAATTAGAGGAGATTTAGAATAACAGAGTGTGGTGGTTGTAGTTCAGTAATTAGAGAAATCAATGACTAGTAATCAAGCAGAATCTTTGTGTGGAATTCAGACTTGAAATAGAAAAGTTGGGACAAAGGAATTTAATTATTTTCTAATCTTCTTTCACTTTAGGAGCTAACTGGCACCTAACAGTAATTACCTTAGTTTAAAACACCAACCAATTAAAAAGAATACTATGAAGAATTGGTAGCATGGGCATTTCTTTTTATATTTTAAGTGTTACTAAAAACTCCACCACATTCTCTTTCAATCACAGAGGGAATTACATTCTCAAATTTGGACTCCTTCATATCACAGCTTACACATTGTTTTCATTTTATAACCAAACCTTACAAGTTTTTGAGTACTACAGAGATTTTTTAAAACTGTAAAATAGGAAAAACTTCTGTGGATGGGCAGCAGTAACCATAAATAGGTTATTTCCTGGCAGTGGTACCAATATGAATTTACTTAAAACTTGCAATGTTACAGAGAAATGAAAACCATTCCTACAGTCTGCTGAATAATATTACTTAAGTCACTAATGTATAAAAGGTTAACTGTTTTAAGTATGATAAACTATTTCTTTCTCTTTAATCTTCACAGCATGAAAAACATATACTAGAAAGATAAAAAAAATTTTCCCTATAATCGAGAATCAATGATGATTTCCAGCTGGAACACTACATATAAATCAGGGCATGCTCTTCAAAGCCAGACCTAATTCTGCTGGAATTTAGTTTGTATAGGCCCATCAACTTTTTTCAAAGTTAAATTCTCTCCAAAGACTTCTTGCTACATTGCAGCAAATTTTATACACTCTCCGTTGGCTAGTATTTATTTGGTAGGTTAATGTAAAAAGAAAAATATTACTTTCTTTTTAAACTTTGAGAGAGAGCCTGTGAGCACATGAGTGAGAGAGGGGCAGAGAGAGGGAGAGAGAATACCAACCAGGCTCCATCATGTCAGCACAGAGCCCAATGTGCGGCTCCATCTCAGAAACCGTGAGATCATGACCTAAGCTGAAATCAAGAGTCGGATGCTTAACCAACTGAGCCACCCAAGAGCCCTGAGAAATACTACTTTTTGGTGTGACAACCAAAAAAAATTTTTAGCTGTCTCCAAAATCTTAAGCTCTAGCTCCTATCATTAAATTTTAGTCCTGTATTTCTACCTGCTTGTTTAAAATACAACTCGATCTCCTTTCTCAATCCTTCTACTTCAAAATCGGAAAATTTTCATGGTACTAACATACTTTTAGTCATCTAGGTAGGAAACCCTGAATTCATCGCTGATTCCTCCTTCTTCTTTCACTCCATCTATCCAGATGCCATGTTTTCTTTATTTGTCTGCTGATGCCTCTGTTCCCAATGCTACTCTGGTAAACCAAAATACCTAGTACCTTTTGTTTGGGTAACAGCAAGCTCCTCCTGAACAGAACCTCCATGTCAAATCTCCTCTTCCGGCACAGCCCTTCTTTTACACTGTCGTCAAATTACATTTCTAAAATTAGGTTCTGGGGGCGCCTGGGTGCCACAGTCGGTTAAGCGTCCAACTTCAGCCAGGTCACGATCTCGCGGTCCGTGAGTTCGAGCCCCGCGTCAGGCTCTGGGCTGATGGCTCAGAGCCTGGAGCCTGTTTCCGATTCTGTGTCTCCCTCTCTCTCTGCCCCTCCCCCGTTCATGCTCTGTCTCTCTCTGTCCCAAAAGAAATAAATAAACGTTGAAAAAAAAAAAATTAAAATTAGGTTCTGGGATATCATACTCCTAGTCAAAAATAACTCTCTCCTGGGACACCTGGGTGGCTCAGCTGGTTAAACGTCAGACTTCAGCTCAGGTCATAATCTCATGGTTCATGAGTTCAAGCCCTGTGTTGGGCTCTGTGATGACAGCTCAGAACCTGGAGCCTGCTTTGGATTCTGTCTCTCTCTTTCTCTCTGTCCCTCCCCCACTTGCCCTCTGTCTCTTTCTCTCTCTCAAATATAAACAAACATTAAAAAAATTAAAAAAAAACAACAACAACCCAACAACTCTATCCTGGTATTCTAAATCCTGTTACTTGAATTCAATAACTTTAAAAAACTCTTCCCGGGGTGCCTGGGTGGCTCAGTTGGTTAGGCGGCCGACTTCGGCTCAGGTCATGATCTCGCGGTCCGTGAGTTCGAGCCCCGCGTCGGGCTCTGTGCTGACAGCTCAGAGCCTGGAGCCTGTTTCAGATTCTGTGTCTCCCTCTCTCTGACCCTCCCCCGTTCATGCTCTGTCTCTCTCCGTCTCAAAAATAAATAAACGTTAAAAAAAAAAATTAAAAAACAAAACAAACAAACTCTTCCCCACTCACCCTCATATAGTATATACTCTAGCCAAACACAGTTTCCTAAAGGTGTCTTTGCCTTTCTGTCTCCTGGTCTTTGCCTGTGATGTTTATTTTGCCTAGGGTAACATTTCTCTGTATGTCCAAATCTTATTCATGCTTTAAGGTCTAGTTCAAATGCTGTATTCTCTAAGATAGCATCCTGGGTCTCCCACAACTGAAAGCAAGGGCCTCTGAATCTCTATAGGACTTCACTATATTCTCTATGGTAGTGTTCTCTAACTTCCAACTTGAATGAGTACACAAATCTCCTGGAAATCTTGATAAACTATAGATTTTCATTCGGTAGGTCTGAGAGTCTATATTTCTAACATGATCCCAGGTGACACTGATACAGCTGGTTTGTGGACTATTTGAATACTGACGTGTTATGGAACACACCAATTTTAGCCTACAACTCTGATTATTTGTAAACTTTTTTTACTGCCTCTGTTTTCCTAAAAATGAAGGAAGGATCCCTGTTTTCCACTGCAACTTGTACAGGAGATATGCAATTGATATTTGTAAACAAATCCCTGCAAAACTTGTATGTTTTACAAATTACAGGTTTTCAATCCATTAATGGGTTGCAAGCTATATGTACGTGTATATAATATGTATGTATATAACTGAAACAATAAAATTAAGTCAAATGAGAAAAAATATATCACATGTAATAAGGGTAAATATTGTTCTTTAAAACTTTTGTTGCAACTACATATACACACATATACATTTGCATGTACTTGGTTAAAAACGTAAAATCTGTTTTCTAATTTTTTTAATGTTCATATATTTTTGAGAGAGAGAGAGAAAGACAGAACATGAGCAGGGGAGGGGCAGAGACACAGGGAGACACAGAATCCAAAGCAGGCTGCAGGCTCTGAGCTGTCAGCAGAGAGCCCGATGCAGGGGCTCAAACCCACGAACCATGAGATCATGACCTGAGCCAAAGTCAGACGCTTAACTGACTGAGCCACCCAGGTGCCCCCAAAATCTGTTTTTCATGTGAGTTTTAGTCAAGAAAGCTGTAAAATACATGTTATGGGTGGAATCATGTCCCCCAAAAAGATATGTTGAACCCTTAACCATGGTTAGAGATTAAAGTTGCCACAACCTAAGAAAACCTGGGACTGAAGAATGTGGAAAAGGAAAGGAAAGATATTCCCCTGGAGGCTTCAGAGGGAGCATGCCCTGCCAATACCTTGATTTGGGACTTTTAGCCTCCATAATCATGAGGGAATGTATTTGTTTTAAGACGCCCAGTTTATGGCAGTTTGTTATGGCAGTCCTTGGAAACTAATAGAACACAGAAGAAACATTTTATTTTATTTTTTAGTTTGTTTGTTTGTGTATGTGTGTGTATGCATGGTTGTATATACTGACTGACTAACTGACAGAGAGGTAGGGGCAGAGAGAGAAGGAAAGAGAGAATCCCAAGCAGGTTCCACACTGTCAATGTGGGCCCAATGCGGGGCTCAAACTCACGAACTGTGAGATCATGACTTGAGCCAAAATCTAGAGTGGACGCTGAACTGACTGAGCCACCCAGGCACCCCCAGATATACTTTAGTCACAGCTCAAGTATTTTCTTAATTTCAGAATTATAAAAAAAATATAAATCTATGAACAAGAATATTATGGCCACATATATTTTAGTATACAATAAACATTTTCAGGAGATTCTACAAAATATAACTTTTAAACATACTCATAGAAGTAATCTCCCCTATTCTTTTTTTTTTTTTTAAGTTTACTTATACATTTTGAGAGAGAGAGACCACAGGGAAGGGGCTGAAAGGGAGAGACAGAATCCCAAGCAGGCTCCACAGTCAGTGCAGAGCATGATGCAGAGTTTGATCGCACGAACTGTGAGATCATGACCAGAGTCAAAATCAAAAGTTGGATGCTTAAATGACAGAGCCACCCTGCTAGTTATTTTTCCTTACATCATCATCACTTATTTTCTTACAGCACTAATCCTAATACATTATATTGTGTTTCTTTGTGTTTTTCCTACCAGAAAATAAGTTCTGTGTGGACAAGTATTGCTTCTTACCATACCCCCTGTGCCTGGTGCATAGCAGGTTTTCAAGAGACACTTATTAAATGGAAAAAAGAAAAGCTCGTAAACTAAACTGTAGGTAGAAGTATTAAATGCTGTTGTTATTATCCTACATCTACTTGTTTCCCATTCCCTCCCAAGAAAAAGCCCTTTGGATAATCAAAAAATTTCAAATTAAAATCTAGCCAGCTGCCTGTTTTATTAAAGTTGTACTGAAACACGGCCTCACTCACTCCTTTACATACTGTCTGTGGCTACTTTTCTATTACGACAGCAGAGTTGAGTACCTACAACAGACTGGATGGCTTTCAAAGTCCAAAATATTTACTATTTGATCTATAAAATAGGCCACTCTATTTTTTAACTATGTATATATTTATACAATACTTGCCATCTAATCATATGTATTCTAAAGATTATAAGAAATAAATGTGGGAAGTAACCTTCACCTTATTGTAATTCTTGGCTAATTCCAACATCTCTTTTACCACTGATTCATTGTGTTTACAGTGTTCACTGTAGTCCTGAAGTGTCAAACCTTCCATCCAACTCTTCTTATGCAAATTTAGCAACATCTGAAAAATATAAAGAGTGATTATTTTCCTGTATTGAGGATACCTCTTCACTTGTCCTGAGAAACAACTTCACAAAATTTGGAATTAATGAATTTAAAATTTAATTTTATTAACTTAAATTCTAGTAAGAATTCTCTTAAATTTATATTAATATAACCTAAGGAGTATTCCAACCTCATGGCCTTTGTACTTGCTGTCCTTCTGTCACAAAGACTATTTTCCTTATCTTTGCATGGCTTACCTTTCTCATTTCCTTAAAAATAGGTGGCTTTCCTCATCACATTATATAAAAAAGCCACCTCACACTATCTCAAACATCTTTCTTCCCTTATCATTATTTTTAGAACATTATCAACACTTGAAAATTTTATTATTGCATTTCTCGCTCACTAAAATATCAAAAGAGTAGAAACTTTCCCAGTTGATTTCAAGATCACCAGGATGTAGATTCTAGAACAATATCTAATCATAACAAACATTCAATAAACACCTGTTGAATGCATAAATGAATGAATGGATGGATGGATGGATGGATGGATGAAACTGCTATGTTACACACAAGGTCTCTAATAGTTCATACAGTCCAGCTTTCAAATACCAAGGTAAGGAGGTAAATGCCCCATTTACTGAATGACTTCATGTAAATCTTACTGTGCCTCAGTTTACATATTTATGAATTGGGGGCTTATATTAGATAATAAATTTCTTTTCAATTCTAATATTCCATCCATAATTTTTAAAATGAAAACTTCCTTACTGTCTAAATGAAAAGTCATGAAACTGGGCAGGAAATCACAGATTTATCCAGTGTGCAATCAAATCAGCAAACTAGGATCAAACTCTATTAGTGATCCTGGAACTAAATACCTTAGTTCACTGTTTCTCAAACTGGACTCCTAGTTCTGAGTATGTAATTCCTGGAAGTTCCGAAATTTTCAACTTTAGAGTATTTAAGACAGTTTTTCTTAGTCTTATTCTACAAATGTTCTTTAGTTGAACTTACAATTGAGTAACTTTAAAAAAAATTTTTTTTCAACGTTTTATTTATTTTTGGGACAGAGAGAGACAGAGCATGAATGGGGGAGGGGCAGAGAGAGAGGGAGACACAGAATCGGAAACAGGCTCCAGGCTCTGAGCCATCAGCCCAGAGCCTGACGCGGGGCTCGAACTCACGGACCACGAGATCGTGACCTGGCTGAAGTCGGACGCTTAACCAACTGCACCACCCAGGCGCCCCTTGAGTAACTTTTTAAAATGACTGCTAAAATCACTGTGAAAAAAATCTGGTTGCCATTACAGCCAGTCTATTTTGTGAGATCCATGAGCTGTAATCTGAAGACGTAGCTAGAATAGTTTAGAAAAACGATTCTACTTGCTCAGAGATTTGCAGTTACATGTGGTACAAAGGTTTTCTTATGCTAGAGAAAAAGGTGCATGTCAAAAATCACCTATGAGACTTTGCCAGACACAAAGCTCCAAATTCCTCCATTCCCATTCAAGGGCCCAGGGAGAGACAAGAGTAACCTGAAAAAAATCCTACACAACTAACTCCAATTTTTTTGACTGCTTCCCATCTTCTCCACTGATAAGTGTTCTAGATAATATATCTTCAGGAAATTTTGGTGCAGCTACAACTATATGTATTATAAAACTACCTATAATTAAGTGTGGAGAACTGGATTTTTCTACCACTTCCAAAGCAAAGTTTCCACAGAGCGTGAGGATATCTCTACCATGCCTGAACAAGGACTCCACTGGGACCCCTGAGGAAGTTTAAAGTTAATTATACAGGTTGGTGGGTAAGAGTAAAGGTAGGGCTTTTGTTACCATAAAAGCTCCTGAACTAAGCTATTAGGAGCATAAGCATAACATTAATTAACTTATGTACGTATTTGCACATGTGTCCTTAATGTCAAGGATAGTGGCTAAATTTTGGGCGGTACCAAAAAGGGGGAAAGCTGATGTAATTATATGGATATTTCTAACCAGCTGGGTGTCAGGTATCAGACTAAAAAAATATTCACATATACAAAATTTTCAGTTTATATATGACAGGTGCTCTTTTTCATGGCCAGTATCTATTCTGTAAAAATTAAAAATAGGTGTTGAAAATATACTCCAAGCTATCAACTAAATGTATCACGGCAGATGTAAACTTTGGGACAAGCAGCTGCAAAAGAGCTCAATGGCTCTATGTCTCCCCTCAGGACAGCAAAGAACTGGCCCCTGCAGCCCCTCACTCATCACCATGCTCAAAGCATACAGGACCTTTGGGTGAGTTTACTGGTAGCTTTGACCTTTTATTTATATTTTATTATTTATTTATTTATTTATTTATTTATTATTTATTTTTTACGTCAGACGGGTAACGTGCCAACGTCATAACAAGTTTTTTTTTTTTTTT